GGGAACAGCATCTGTGGCGATCTGGTACGGTGAGAACCTTCGGTAAGAATCAGATCTTTCTTGACGTAAAGGACAATTGCCTTCCCGATTGACGGCTCTTTTCCGAGGGAGTGAAGGCCTGTTTACACATTGGCCGTCGAATACGACTGACCGAGACAAAGACCGGATTTTAAGCCTCCTGCGACCCCTTATGAGCTTCTGCGCTTCCATGCAGCGAGAAGAAAGTCGTCACAAGAGGCTTAAAGGGGCCCTGCAATCATATTTAAGCGTCTACCTTTTTTGCGGTTTCCACGTCTCTTGGGGTTGGGGCAAGCCAGCGGGCACGGAGAGAGTAACTAAATATCAGTGCGTCATATTTTAAGCGGACGACGCGGAAACCTCCTCCACCGACGAGGGCGACCCGCGGTACCGAAAGCGCGCAAAATGTGACGTCTTTGGTCCTGGGCTTGTCACTGGTCCAAGTCGCTAAGAGCTTTTTTTTAGTCGAGATACAAAATATAAGTGTCGCGAACCGTTTCAATTATGTATGAAAGTAGTTTTTGGTCACTATTTTAGATCAGAAAAGAAACAAATGCAGTTTAGAAAGTACGGAAACGAGAAATGACCCGTCGACATACCCGCCACCAAGCGGCGGAAAAAAACGGCGCACACTAGAAAAGGCTAGTGGGATGAGGCTACAACAAACGAGGAGCGTAGAAAGGTCCCGGATGTACGCGCCGGCGCTGTGGTCGTATACCGGCTCAAGAATCCGACCGGTTCCGAGCGTTCCGAAAGCCTTCGGCGCGGGCCCTGTTGGCGATTTGGCCATTTGGCGGTGCGTCAGCGCGAAGTGGCTCCCGTTCTGAACTGATCTTTACCCCGTGTTTGCTGTCGTTTGTGGCCAATGAAATGTTATGCCGAATTAGTGTTTAGTCGCGCTGCAAATGCAATACGAGCTGCCCTGGCCGCCCGCTTCATGCAGCCTATCCAACACGTGCTTTAGTGGCGCCCTCTCGAGCCGTCGACACGGAGTGCGGCAGCCGTGTGCGCTGGATGAGCTCACTACTCCTCCTCTAGTTCAAGGCCACTCAAGGCAGGACCTACGACGTCATGAAAGAGGTTATTTTTTCCTTGTTTTTGTAATTCTAATTTGCCTATAACTTTTAAAATAAAGCGAAATTTGAGAAAAGAAAAGTTGGATTAAGTTACTACGTTCAGTACGCTCAGGTTCAGTGCAAATTAAAAACCAGTCAAAAAGTCATTGCAGGGCCCCTTTAAAAACAGTTTTTGTTTCAGTTAGTCGTTGTCAAGCGCAAGTTTGAGAACGGGACTTCATTTGCTCCCGGAAAACAATCGATGATGTACTTCATAGTATCACTCATTTATTCACTCTACACTCTGCAGTCGTACTCGTTTACGGGCCCAAAAATGTATAATCGGACTCGCGGATATTCTCATCTACGCCCGCAGCCCCTGGAATCCGTATGCGATCTGCAATCCGCCAAATCTTATTACATTTTATCCGTATCCGCCTGCTCACTGCCGCGCGCCTGTTTTATTTTGCCGAGCGTCTATTACGACGGCCGCGCGTCAATTTTATTCTCGAGCGCATATAAATTGTTGGATTTTACCATAAAATAACGTAGCGAATAACCAGGTCTAGCAAACATAATTCCGCAGAAAAGCAACATCTGCAGTCAACGTTTTCGATTCAAGGGGTGCGGAAACGAAATGACGTGACTGTGAGCTTTCTACCTCTCGTTTTTAAATCAGCCAGCAAGAAGTGCTCTTGACGTCAACGGCTCCTGCACAGCCATTGGTGCTGTAGTGGCGAGCATTGCCGCTTGGTGGCGTCAACAAGTGACAATCTCGCCTAGTGGTAATATTTGAGGACTGTATGCCTTATCGCCTATACATAGTTTGTCCGTAACGTCATTCGCGGCCTTGCCGGTATCTTATGCGCCACGAGCGTACGGCTCGCCATGTTAATTTCACATCGCAGTTCAAGAAAACCAGAAACTAGAAAGAACCGTCAGTAGATAGCAATGGCGATACCTGCAAGCTATGTTTATAAGGTATTCACTGGGTGCCATATTCGAGCGCGTTGTTCACAGCGCAACCCCGGGGGAAGAGTGTGTGTGTGTGTGTGGGGAGGGGGGGGGGGAGAATGGTATGGTTGGCCTGGCAGAGGTCCTCGCATCCTCAGATCAAGCTCCTACCTAACGTCTGCAATGCACGGTGATCTTAATGGTGTGGAACGCGCGTTGCGGAAGCACTGTGCAAGTTAGCCTATACAAAGCATTACATTCGTTATACTTCGTCTCACCCACGGCCTCACCTTAGCACGGACTAAAGGGCTGTTTATACTCCAACGTAACGTCGACGGGCGCGCGCGCCCAACCGCGTTGCCTGACGTTGCTACGAAAGGACAGTTTATACTCTGACGACAGGTGGAACGCCTCACAACGTAACGCGCCCCGGCGCGCGCCAGCGAAGCTCACGTCGAGGCGGGCTGTTTATACTCCAACGTAACGATGACGGGCGCGCGCTCCCGAGCGCGTTGCGTGACGTAGCTGCGAAAGCAGAGTTTATACTCCGGACACAAGTGGACCGCCTCGCAACGTAACGCGCCTCGGCGCGCGCCGGCGAAGCTCACGTCGAGGTAGGCGCTGCTCGAATCTCGGCGTCGGCCGACGACGGTCGTCACCCAGAATTCCACGCGCGAGCGTCAGTTGGAAAGAAAAATGGCGAACGGAGGTGCCGCGGAGTGCGAACCGAGCGATCTGACGACGGACGAGGTTGAGCGGCTCATTGCAGCGGTGAGAGAGCGCGAGTGTCTTTATGACGTCGGTTCTCTAGAGCACAGGGATTCCAAGCGAAAAAAGAATGCCTGGGAGTCCGTGCGCATTGCCTGCGGTATCAAGTCCGGTAAGTTGACTAGGGTGATTTCATGTGCGCTTTGTTTCGCGTGACGACATCTGTCCATTTTGTTTCGAACCCCCTTTTTTGTGTGTGTGTGTGTGTGTGGGTTGAAGCGCGTGAAAGAGCGTGTCCCTGCACGCCCGCGTGGCGCTGACTGTGCTACGGCCACGGTGTAGCTACGGCGACATTTTGCTTCCTGCGATTTCTTTGTATTTTCCCTGTGAGCGCGTGCTGTCACCATCGGGTACTACAAACGATGGCATCATCCAAACAGAAAGACATTGAGGCGCTCTAGTTATTTAGGACTTCAAACAGAAAAGCAGTGCAAGCGGCTTAACTGACATGGCAACTTGTTCAGCATTTTATTTTTGTATCACGTCTGCATTTGGGAGAACTGAATTCGACATATTTATTTCAGGTGAGGACGCACAAAAAGCGTGGAAGCGTGTACGCGACACGTATGTTCGGGAGGTCCGCGCCATTGAAGCTGCCACAAGGAGCGGCTGTGGCTTCGTCCGGAAAAAACAATGGGCCTTCCTGGAAATGATGTCGTTTTACGAGAAACATATTGGACCCAGGAAGTATGTAAACAAAACATGAGTCCTCATTTGCTGTCTAACTGAATTTCTCTCCCATATGTTAATCCCACTTGCAGGGCAACCACCAACGTAAAGGCACCACCTGTGGGCGGCACAGCACAGTGTCTATTAATGGATATGGTGGAATCTTCTCCTGACGACTCGACCATTCCCACTGACTTCGAGCCTGCCCAAGAAGAGCTGCAGAGCAGCCCCGAGGCTCCTGTCCCAGCCACGCCGTCCACCTCGGGTGAATCAACATCAAGCACCTCGAAAAGGTCATCAGGCCAGTCACAAAGGTGCCCAGGACCCCCTTATTCTGCACGCAGAAAAGAGGCTGACACAATGGAGAGAGAACTTTTAAATCATCTAAAGACTAAAATGACACAGAACGAGGCGTTTGCCTACTCTGTAGCACAATCACTAGATCGTTGGGACGAGGTCACCAGTGCCCAATTCAGGGCTTGTGTAATGCAGATTGTATATGAGTATGAATGTAAATTCCTGCAAAAATAAAACGCCCCCGACCTTTGTGCATCTAAAGGCACACGTGTCCACTATAGTTTTGATAATATACACATTCTGTTAATATGAACTACATTTTCGAAGAGCAATCTCCGCTTATGCAATTCTACTACATCGTTCGAAAAAAAAAAAAAAAAACACGAAAAAAACATAATCTGCGAAGCAGTCTATGTTAATCTGAATATTATTAACTCTGTGGTTCAATACTTCAGAATTAGTTCTTGGAGGCAAGCTGCAGGGATGCCTATCACATAAAATAGCTTGAAAGAACACCTACAGACATTTTTCAAATTTACCTCAAGCGTCAAGGAAGTGGCCTGGAATGTAGGTACACACGAATGTGGACGATAGCTTGCGCAGCGAGTGTACCTGCAAATCCGGCATGATCTTTGGTGCTTGTGTAAATTAGCAAAATGTCTAGTGCACATAATAGCATCTTCTGCTACTCAGACACACAACCTGTGCTAATACCGTTAATCAAACATGCTTTCTACCCATTACATTCGCTTCGTGGGTGGCACGCATTGCTCGAAACCTGTTTATATTTCCGAGAGAAATGCAAGTAGAAAAGCAGGCTTATCGAAAGTACATCTAGAATGTTATTTTACTCCTTTGTGGTGTAAATGAAAAGATTAAACCCGACTTTTGTAATTAATACGCAAGCTGTCCTATTTTCCAAGTGAGCCACCACTACATTCCTGCGGGTTCACTTAATAAAAAGCCAATCATTTGGTATGCGTGCCTGTATCTCAGTGGCAAGCGAAAAACATGGATGGCCAATATTGCTCGCTTGTGCCAATTACCTCGCTCTCCCCTGTACAACAAAATTCACCAAGGTAGGCAGGTAAGCTCATTGAAGGTGAAAACAACGAGGGATTGCGAAATACATTTTGCCGGTCAACACTGTTAAGCAAGCAGAGCAGAGAAAATATAGACAATTTATTTGCAAGGAAAGAAAAAAATTTAACAGCATTGATAACAACCTTGTGTCGTCGTCTACTCCCTCGTCACTATGTCGTGTTGCCACGGGATGGCTCCCCTAGGGGAGATGAAGTGGTCTGCCAGCTGGTCCCTGATGCTGATTGCTGCTGGGCTGCTGTTGCCACCTAGGCTCCTGTTGACACCAACATTCAGAATGTCAGCTCGCCACTGACCATCCACACGCGCACCCCTCCTTTCACTGTCAGCATATCCAGGAGGGCGGTAGGCTTCACCCCGTGTCAGGAAGTTGTGGAGGCAGACTCCCGCTTTTATCATGTTTTCACAGCGCTCAACAGTGCCATGCATGGGAGCCAGAAACGCTCGCCAGCGAGACACAAGTATTCCGAAGGCGTTTTCTACTGTACGCCTGCCCCGGGAGAGCCTGTAGTTGAAGACCTTTTTTCGGTAGTCCAAGCCTCTTCCGGGGAAAGGGCGCATGAGGTACGTTTTCAACGGGAAGGCTTCATCCCCCAGGAGGCACAGAGGTGGTGCAGGCTGTGCGATTACAGGGATCTGGAGGGTGTTGGCAGCTAACGCCTTTCCTAAGTTAGACTCTCTCAACACACCGCCATCGGACTGGTGTCCGGCAGCCCCAATGTCCACCAGTCGAAACCTGTAGTGGGCGTCAACAACAGCGAGCAGCACCATCGAGTAGAATTTCTTGTAGTTGTGAAATATTGAGCCAGAGTTTGGTGGGCACCTGATCGCAAAGCGCTTGCCATCTATTGATCCAATGGCGTTAGGAAAGTTCCACTTGACGCAGAACTCCCTCCGGATCTCTTCCCACTGTTGTGAAGTGGGTGGCTGCAGCACGAACGGGGAGAGGCAGTCCCTGATGGCTGGCAGCGTTTCCTGAAGGATCCCCGAGAATGTTGCTTTATGCATCCGGTAACTTATGGCCACTAGGCCCAGAGATCCTGGTGATGCAAGGAGCCTAGAAATGTGCAAAACAAAATTGTGAGACTTAGTACCTAACTCAGAGCAACTGTTTAGTCAGTCATTTCCACTGTTTGTGACTAAGAACGACCTACGAGAGTGCTCCGTCAGACTTATATAGCTATACACGCAATATGTAAATATGTACTAAATGTGTTTGACTGACGCTCTACGGTGTTTTGAAATAGTTTCTACTCTAAAACCGCCCGCAAAAATCAAGGAATCGGCGCATAAAGTGGAAATTGATCTCGAATATGAGTTTTACTGTGCTGATTTACTCATTAAAAATTTCAGTCTCAATTTAAAGTGCAAAAAAAAAAAAAAAAAATGAATGGCGATGTTGTCAAATGGGTCAGCCTTTCTATTTAGTAAAATATGTGCTTGATGTAGTAAGTATTACAATGATACGTTGATCCGCTTATTTATAAGTGTCTCAAAATAAAGTTACAAGGTAGTACTAATGGCCCGTCTAACATCAGCAACTGAACCTATCAAGTTGAAGCTTACCTCGAATACATACCTCACTAGTCCCCTTTACATATTACAAATTCAAGTCTCTATTTAAAGTACGAAAAAATTTAAAAAAAAAACTTTCCCATTTTAGGTTTTTTTTTTTCGTTCTAGAAGTTCAGACTTAAAATTTGAACGGGTGCGATACATCCAACCAGTAAAGGAAGCATTTGAGGTAAGTTTCTACTTGAAACGTCGCGTCCCTGATTTTTGCTGGCGATTTAAGAGCCCAAACTTTATTTTGAAGCGCACTGTCGAGATTGGGCCTCTCAATTAAAATATCGGAGTAGATGAGAGCGCATAAGTTTCCGGTTTGAGGTATTTTAATACGAGTTGGGCGTGTGTACGGCGATAGTACACCGCCTAGAAGCATAACCTAATCAGTCAAGCATCCGCTGACTGATTGAAATGAAGTGTATATCAAATATGTAGTACATAGAGTGCCTCAATGTACTTCTGTTTTGGGGGATGCCACCGTTTGTAGTGCCCGATGCCGACAGCACGCGCTCACAGGGAAAATACAAAGAAATCGCAAGAAACAAAATGTTGCCTTAGCATAGTCACGCCAGGAGCGCGTGCAGGGACACGCTCTTTCACGCTTTCAGAACAAAAAATAAAAAATAAGCGTTCGAAAAAAATTGGTAAAATGTCATCACCCCAAGCAAAGTGCACATGAAGGCACCCTAGTAGTACATACCTCACTGTGATGGCCAGCCGCTCAGCGGGCGAGATGGGAGAGCGATGTGTGGGCGAGTGTACAAGACGGTCGTGGACGAGTCCGAGCAGCTCGTCGAATGAAGCCTTCGTCATAATGCAGAAAAGGAAACGACAGAATTGATTCACTATGATAAGCGACATGACTATCGACCGTCGCCTTACCTGAAGTATTGGAAGTGGTATTCTGGGTCGGACTCGCGCAGCTCCTGCACTAGATGGTAAAATTCTCCAAACACTGTGCGCTTATCAAATATGTCTCGTACGTACATCGTGCGTGTTCTCTGGCGCCGTATTCGGCGCCATAAAAGCACCGCTGCAATTTTATTCTTTTTTTGCTGATCTAAATACATCGCGAATCGGCTCTCCATGGTTCCTCCCGTCTGAACAAGTCAGGACAGAATGCAAACGGAAACGGAAATAAACCATCAGCTTATGTCGCGGTTGTCATGGCGACGCGCAGGCGCAACGCGAAGTGCGCGTCGGTGCGCGCTGGACCGCGATGGAGTATAAATGCCGTTGACCGCAACCTTTTCAGCGACAAAGGTGGCATATTGAGCTTCCGGCTCAGCAACACTTGCTTTGACTTCCTTCTCCCAAGACTCTGACTGACTGACTTTTCAGCGCAGCGCGTCGTGTCGTTGTTGATGACGAACGCCGGCGCACGTCACGTTCGTCGACGTCGGAGTATAAACAGCCCTTAACTGCGAAGGCTGTCCAAACGCGAGCGGATAGCCTCGACTGACCTGACTGGAGCACCCGCGGCGCGAGCGCTTGTGCAGCCGACAAAGCGTGATTCAAAGCAAATAGCTCGCACTTTAAGCATGCATGGCTAACAATAGTCCGTGCTAAAGTGAGACGAAGTATAGCGTTCTCTGCTAAGTCTCACTCAGGACTAAGTAACTCGACGAGACAGCCATACTGCCGTGAACTGGCGCTGCTTTTTAAAGGCCGATTACAAAGGCCGATTACGTGGCGGCATTCAAACCGAGCGTCACAGACCGTTACTGGGCGGAGCCTTGAAATCTGTTCATTCGTTTTAAAAATATTTTTCTTGACTTTTCTGCCGGCAGCCCAAAAGCAATAGTCTAAACTAGTGTATCTGGACTGCCGCCACAACACTGTTCATATCTAAACAAAGAAGTAAAATCAAACATTTTTTTCCGTACCCTTTTAAAGGTCTCATTTCTTTACAGTTAGTCGCTCGGCCCCTTGTAGTTCGCAATGTCTGGTTATCCGTGGCCTCCGCGGGAATGTGGACACGTGGGATTTGTTAATGAACTGCGAGTTCATTACATTCCGTACTTTTTTACGAGCAGACACCGTACTTTTTAAGGGTATCCGCGTATAGCCGATTATCAGCGTTTTATGTAGCTTAGCAGGAGCGTCACCTCGTTTATAGTGCATGCACAAAATTAAAACAAACAAAAAATAGTTTTTGCGTGCAGCTGTTTCTGTCAAAAGAGCAACACCTCAGCCACAGCTGCTCCGGGTCGGCCTGCATTCGCGGAAGCCGCACGACCGAGGCTTCAGAGATTCTCGCAGCAACAAGTGAAGCCCCGGGCAACCGTGGCGCGTTGGAATATTGCATTTCGTCGGAAGGTTTTTACAGCGTTTACAAAACAATTTGCGTCAATCTCTTCGGTGTGGCAGGCAATGCTTTAAAAGTAATTCCACGTGGCCTCATTATTAATCCTGGAGAAAAAAAACACAAAAAAACTAGATGTCACTGGTGGGTGGTATTTCTGAATAGCGAGCCTAATGGCTTCAGCGCTCTAACTGGTGTTTTTGGACAACATCGATGGTGCGCTTAAATAATATTTCATAGTCATATTCCACCCTTTTGTTAAATGAAGAACACGCCAGGATAGTTTTCGTACAAACTGCAACCATAGACATTTCAGCGGACCTGCTTTTGGACAGTACCGAAGCGCACCAAAGAGAAGTATGACTGCGGAGAGGTGAGCGATCGGCGTTTCTCAGGTGAGTGACATAACGGTTAATTAGGCTTATGCGGTTGTCACTGCGATGCGTTGTAAGGTGCCCTCACAGATTCCATGCAACTATGTCGAAAAAATGTGTCTCTATCTGACTTACTTCTTTTCTTTCCAAGGGTAGTAGACGATAACGATACGCGAAATGCTCAGCGCCATCTAGTGAGGCGCCGAAGAACATGCTCCGCCTCACCAATTGGCTTTGGCGTTGTCAAAGGTAAGGGTGCGAATGTGTAGTTCCGAAATAAATCCTTCGCTCGCACAATCACTTTTTCAGAGAAGGCGCTTTCCAACACCAGGCGCCCGCGCCCGTGCCTTTGCCAGCACTCAAAGCTAAATTTCGAGCTGAAGTGTACGTCCGTCATGTTGGTTGCGGCGAGAAACTGGTGACCGGCGGTGCGATGAGCACGTACTTGCGGAAGGACGTAAAACAATGCTAACCTATGCTCGCAGGTGTAAGTAACGATTGACGACTGTGAGCAGTATGCCTCGATTGTTGCTGACGACGCTACGAAATTGACGAACAACAGAGGGACCTCGACCTAACAAAGATGACAGCCCAAAGAGCCCTTTGGGCTGTCATTACAGACGTTACAACAATTTCGCATATTGTCTATTTTACTTTAAATAGTGTTGACTAGACGGGAGGTGCGTAAATTTTTCGCACCCATAACGTATAAATTATGGCAACGCCGTTGAGATTTAACCTTCCCCCCTCCAATTTCGAGGTATTTCATGGTGTAATACGCCCAAAACAACAATGACGCAAACGAAGGGAGAACTGGACATGACGCGGCTAAGTTTCAACCGAATAATTCATTTCAATGGCACAATTAAAAAAAACACATAAAAACAGGCACACTTGGCAGACCACAAAAATCCCCCCCCCCCCCCCCCCCCCCCCCCCCCCCTCAAATGCCAGCCTTATACGCCTCGCAAGTGGGCTCATTTTCGTCTTCTGCGCATGAGAAAGGAAGTAGCGGTGACGTCAGAATGCCGAGCCCTGATTGGCTGATCGCGACCCCCTATCTGAGCGTCGTCTGCTCCTTTGCAACGTCGTCTGCTCGCTACATCGTCTGCGTCTGTCTTGCCTTTCCTCGACTTTCGGAAGTGCAGGTCTTTGCGAGCGAGCTCGACTTCGCCTTTCAGAGAGGGCAGACGAAGTAACTCGAGCGGTGCGTTGTTTTTGTCTAACAACTAGTAGACGCGCATCAAGGAGAAAAGTGAAAGGACTCACTGGCGAGGTGTCCCGAGGCGCCGAGGTTTGTTTGCTAAGAACCGAGAGGTGAGCGTGTTAAGGCCCGTTCACACATGCAGCGGAGCGCTACAAGCATAGCGCTAACCTCGCGCCAAGCGCGTGCTGACGGCAGCGTTCACCAGCTTTCTATCGCACCGTCAAAACTGTTGCTCATGGCAGAGGATAAGTAGCCGACGACACGTGAGGAGCGCTACATGAGCGCTTCGCTGCATGTGAGAACCGGCCTTTAGTGTCCGCAAGTTCCCTTCCAAATACGTTTTCCCTTCTTTCGTGTGCGGCGAGACTCCTCATTCTTTAACGGCGTCGGCGGGTTGGCACAGTTAACGTCGTCTGCTTTACGTCTGCAGGTCAAAGCGATGGCTGCTTTACCTTCCCTGCGTCTGTCGGAGATTCACCGCTTTTTCACCGGCGAGAGTCACCGTTGCCTCGGGAAACAAGGAGATAACAAGAGGAACAAATGGACCTCTTAATCTAAAATTGAGGTCAGCGATCAAAGTATAATACGGGAAGGGTTCACAAGGGTCGCGCGGGCATATTTTATTCAACACGCCAGCCGGACGTGGGCAGACGGTCGCCGAGTCGCGGAGTGCCTGCTAGGTCTAACTGCTGAACTCGCTTGGTCGCGTTCGATGGAATCGTGGCCGTTCGAGCTTTTCCCGGTGTTTGTGGATCCAGCGTTCTTGTTCGTCGTGGTCTGTTTCAAGTACTTTTTTCTTGCTGCTTGAAGTCGGGACGCGTGAGAAGCGCACGTAGAAAAATAAACGTCCGTGGGTCGTCGCGACCGCGACGCTGTCGGCCATGCTAATTTGATCGTAAGAAGTGCGTAAGACAGCTTCGGAGCTGTCGTAGGATTTCGTCATAACCTGCGCAAAAATTATGAAAATTTCGTTTCGTGAATACCAATTTGTTCTTAAGGTTTGTCTTACGCACATTTTTGGCGTAAGATAGTTTCTTAAATCTGGCCTCTGCACTTCCGAAAGTCGCGCAGGAAAGGTAAGAAAGACGCAGACGACGTTGCGAGCAGACGACGTTGCAAAGGAGCAGACGACGCTCAGATAGGGGGTCGCGATCAGCCAGTCAGGGCTCGGCGTTCTGGCGTCACTGCTACCCCCCTCCGCAAGAAGCAGACGAACTTGCCCTCCGCATTGGCTCTTCAAAAAGTAGAATTCTTCATCAGACAAGACAAAGAGGGTGCGCTTACACAAGAATTGTCGTGGTAGGATTTAATCAGGAAGGCTTCGTGAATTTCTCTGGCTGTTTTTGTTCTGTAATGGCCCATGACACAGGGGGTACCAAAGATGGGGCTGCACTATCCGGGGTTTGGCCCGCATTCGCAACGGTCACAGTGGACCGCTAGGTGGCCAGACGGGAACTGCCTGATCGCCAACGCGTGCTCTCTGACCCTATCAGATTGTGGGACATCTTGTGAATGTAAGGCAAGACAACAGGCCCACCTACCCTCCTGAAGAAGGTGGCCCATCACTTTGAGATACCAGCCGTTTTTTCTGCACCGAACAAATTATCTTCGCCGTGTAAAAGGATAAGCAGATTGGGAGAGGAAACTGTTGTGTGGAAAGAGTCCTGCAAAAAACGACATGTCACTAGGTTCTGCGAGTGCGCCACAAGCGTCACTTAGAACATTCCCCTGTCATGCGGTAAGGTGTACGTTGGCCAGACAAGGAGGTGCATCAATGATAGGGTAAGAGAGCACGCGTTGGCGATCAGGCAGTCCCCGTCTGACCACCTAGCAGTCCACTGCGACTGTTGCCGAATGCAGGCCCAAATCTGAAAAGTGCAGCCCCATCTTTGGTGACACCTGTGTCACGGGCCATTACAGAACAAAGACGGCCAGAGAAATTCACGAAGCTTTCTGATTAAGTCCTACCAAGACAATTCTTATGTAAGCGCACCCTCTTTGTCCTTGTCTGATGAAGAATTCTACTATTTGAAGAGCCAATAACTCTGGCATTTAAGGAGGGGGGGGGGGGTGTTTCTAGACCATATCTTCGTGGTCCGCCAA